GTAGTGAAACTCCAAATGAAATCCAAATTTCTATGAAATCCTTTTTTAAAGCAAAAGTAAAGTGCAACATGGAGTGCAAGAAACAAGTGTCCATCTCATAGGCAAATCACTGAAATCAAAGTTCAGTATTATAGTGTAAGAATGACAACATGTCCACGTGTTCTGTTTCTTTACGACAAAAATGCTATAGCCACTGTAATTTAATTAATTATGTGGACATCAAAACGTGTAAACTCAGAGTGAGGGTTTGAGCTTTTATTTTGAAACCGCAAGATAATTTTGTATTCTCCTGAGTTTGCTTGGATTTATAAATGATTTACCTTAAAAATCTGATGAAATGGCGCACGTTGCGTTCCCAGATGAACGTTATAATGCAAACAAAGTTTATTCGTCCAATTCAATGCATTTGTACACATTATTATTATTATTATTTTAAATAAACAAAATCACTGGTAAATAAAACACACCTTAGTATCGATATTTTTAGTTTGAGTATCGATACATCGATACTTAGGATCGATATTACGCCCATCCCTAGTACAGACGACAACACCCATTAAAACGTCAGCAAATGTGTGTAGACTCGGTGATCAGAGTTTTAATCCATCCAGATGTAATAAATACAGATTGTTTCATGGACATAAACTTGCGAACAAAACGGATTATGCGGTCGTGTTGGAGGAATTTGTTGGCAAACTTCAGGACACGGCTCTGGCCATGCCTATAACTGCATCACATATAATTATTTAATTAAATCGTAGTGCTTGTGAATTCACAGTTATGCTTAATTATTTTTTTAAACGGGTTTAATATATCATGAGGCCTTGGAAAACAGTCTAATAATGTGTTTTATGGATTCTCGTCCGTGAAATGCGCCACTTCCGGTATTTTGCCGGTTAGTCGACACAGGCAAAATGAAGTCGAGAACTTTTAAAAATCGAATAGTCGAATAGATTCGCGACAGTCCTACTTGACATCATTCCACATATGGCATTGCTCCGCATTACACCCTTTATCTCTGGTATGATCTATTTTTTGTCTCACTCTCACTCCTTGTGTTTCTCTCTTTTTCTTTTCTCCTGTCCTGCTTCTCTCTGTGAACTCTATAGAAATGCTTTATTCATTGTATACACTGTTGCCAACTCTCGCAAGACAAATAAGCAACCGCTGCTTCAAAAACAAGCCCAAAACAAGCCCAATTTTTCAATCAATATTATTTATTATCAATTATTTATTACCAATAAATGAGCCTGCAACGTATTATTCTGAAACCACTCTTTTATCTGAAAAGCAACAGAAGCTATTTTACAAAAATCAGCAAACTGCAACAAAAATGGGAACAAAACTCATCTCCAA